GTGGCAATAGGCCGGCCATATAGCTCGAAGAACCGACAACCGATGGGGATGAAAGGTTCTCGAGTGGCAGCCTCGTACCAGCAGGCGAAGCGTAAGGCGTCCCCCCACTGGATGGAGAGATGACCTGGTAAGACATGCAGGAAGTCGATGGATGCAGGTGGCTCAGGACCATGCTTTGTGGCATTCCTTGAGTGGGGCCTATGTTTAGCAGTGGACTCGTGAAGGGCTGTAATGACGAAATGATGATGACGCGCAAACACACGTACTACAAACTCGCATCGGAACACAGTGTCGTGCATATTTGTAGAAGGCAGGCGGGTAGGGTAGGGAGCGGGGCGCTTCCTGCGAACCGAGCGACGAAGGAAACGACGATTTTCAATGCAGAATAGCTTCGGTGACTAATGTGAATTTTGGTTTGAGATAACAATTAATGATTTTTTGCAAAATGCAACATAATTATAGATTTAAGGTAAAGATATTTTATTTTGCAAATATGGGTACATGGTGATATAGGTAGTAAGTTCAGACATATTTTACCATTAGGCATGCAAAAATACAGAATTATAAACTAATCCGCTATACTAATAATAGCACAAAACCAAACATAATTCTGATTGTTAACCTTACACAGTCTTAATCTCAAACAAAACATTTTTTTACAGACAGGTATTTATAGTATGCTTCGACTGTCAAAAAGCTTCGAAGCCTTTTTTTAAATATCGATAGCGGCAATTCTTTCCAACTTTTAGGTATTTTGTCATACCTATATGACCGGAGCCATTCAGTAGATATTTTTGCGCATTAGTACTGTCTTAGCGGATTGATGCCATAATAGAGTATTGTCGCGTCTATTACGTGAAACTACATCGGTAAGGCGTTTAAAACGATATGGGTGCAACTTAACAAACACAGCTACTTTTAGTATGTATAAACAAGGTAAGTAAGCCGGGACGAGGTAGTAAGATGCTGGGGGAACTTGAAAATAAGGAAAATAATATTATGATGAATGACAGAATGGACAAGGTAAGTACCGATTTTATTACTGTCACTTAGCTAATATTATTAGAGAGAATTTAAAATCATAGATGATATAAATGCATATTACTGTAGGTGTATGTTAGCAGTGTGTATTAAATATTGGATACTGCCTGAAGTTATGGTGAACGATGAAGCATATCTATGGCTTTTCTAGATGAAAATTGTAACGGTGATAGAAAAACGAAGCTCGTTCGCTTTTTTAGTTACATTGTGTTTTAGTGGGCTTAAAACTATAATTAAAAACTTATATAATTTTTTATAATTTTATATTTTTATAGCTCAGGGAGAAACGCTTGTTTAAACGAAAACTCATAGCTCGCGAGCAAGCGAGTTCAACTTCTATCGCACTAATGAAATTGTTTTTGATAAATACACCAACATAATGCCAGTTCTATGTGGTAAGACTTCCTTTCTGCCTAATCTGTTTCCGCCGCCATATAGCAGTGCTTGAACTGCTGTGTTCCGATCAGAAGGGTACACAGAGTCAGTATAATTACGGGCTATGACGCCATCCATTCCATTCTCAGAGGTGGGAACTTCAAACAAAGAAAAAAAAGTGCTGTCACATTTGTAGCCTTCTTTGTTTGAAGTTGATTACAGATGTCAATGCAGTAGCTAATTACCATCAGATAGCCTGTGAGTCCGTTTTCCACTACAGTTTAATAAGAAAAATTCTATCCCCGCCGGCACAGATGAAATTATTATTGCAATTTTAAGTACTGATTTACTTCGTGCTTGGCGTTGAATAAAACATTGCGGGTAAGCCTCCATGTCTGAGGATGAAATAATACTAAACGCCGGATTTCGTATTGTTTTATCCTGAGATATGTTGTATTTTGTACTGTGAGTTTGTTTCGCATTGAGAGTGGGTTGCTCACGTAGAGTGATATGTACTAATTTAATTATTAAAATGTAATAATAATTTCCTCCAGACCGAATTTCCGTCATAGCGACCAGTTTCAACGGAGACTAGCCACCTGTTCAGGATAGCATTAAAGTGCACGGACGTTTCTACAAGCACAGTTGCCCTCTTTATTCCTTCACCGTCATAGTTCGATAGCTCGGTAATCCAATAAGACCAGAGAGAAATCAGGCGCAGGACTATCGGCTTTACGTGCTTTTCGAGGCACGGGATTAAAACACACCCAACTTCCTGTCTCCGGGTTGCTACTGAGAATTTGTTAACAGAAGAACACAATAACTGATATTGGTCTGACTCGGGTTTGAAAGATAAGACGAAATGGTTTGTTACCAACAAAAAAAGTATCCAATTCGCAATAAGAATATATATTAAAACAGCAGAATTATGGTTCTATTTTATACTGGAATGATGTAAGGCATGGGTCCTTTCCCAATAGAGCCTCTAACTATTACTGAAATTTACTCATGATAGTAGGTGAAATTAGTATTATGTATAATCAGTATAAAATAAAATAAAAATATATTTCTATTTCTATGATGTTATAAGAAATAATAACTTTAACAGACACGTAAACTTTTAAGAAACATATGTGTTTGCTAGGTATTAATTAATTATAAAGAAAAAAAAATACTATCGTCGAGATTTGTGATAATCAAAATCAGATGAGATTATTTGAAATAGTTAATATTGCCAGCCTGTTATCGCTAGTTTTGCATTTAAATTACGAATGTTATCAGAGAGTACAAACAACTCCATCATTGATATGATTTATCAACTCGTTAAATTTGCAGTCGCCTCGAACAGATAGTTTTTTATCAGTGGTAGAGCCACGCGGCAGCTTTTGCTAACGCACGGATGGGCTGGCTCGAACCGGGGTGGTACCACGACCTCACAGAATACCAGGGTGAAGTAGAGGTTTATCTCTGCGTTTCGCTTGGTGAGTGCAGGAGGCCGGAGGCCCTTTTTACTGGAAATAAGGCATTTAATCTTAGTCCTCACGGGTGACAACGCATCTGCATTTTGATTTAGAGGATAGATGTAGATGCCTATGGGTCGCAGCAACCACTTACCATCAGGTGGACTGTATGCTCGTTTGTCACCATTATCCTATAAAAAAAAGTTCAAATATAATTAACAGATTAAAAAACGTCATCACTATCATTAAAGGCAAGTTCACTGCTGAAAATAAGCCTCCCCTAAGAATGCAACGAAATTCGGTCTTGAGCTCCCTGCAACTATCGATTCCCTTCATGTAGGCATCTATGTAATGAAGTCCTTCTATTTTTGACATCGTATTTTGACATATTATAATATATTAATTTAATCTTAGATAGTTAATTTGACAATGACATTTTGCTTAATCTATTTAACATGTAATCTAATTGACATGTATTCTTTAATTTATTTGACATTTTGACATGTATCTTGAATTATTACTTATTATTTAAATCTGTAATTTGTAGATTACCATGCTGGCGTTTTGGGCATACTGTAAGTCAGAATTTACACTGTTCTAAAATAAATAAATAAATGTTCTATAAGGTCGTCATTGTATTAAGTGGGGGCCCACCATATGGGGTTATTTTTCAAAGAGTAGCCAAATTTTAAACTTAAGTTCAAATATATAAATAATTATATACCGTTATTGCAGTTTTCAAAAAAAAAAACGTAAGTAAGGTTTCTGCTTTTGTTTCAAATTATCCCAAACTTAATGTCATTTATGTGTGGTGCGCAGTAAAATCAGTTTAAATAATACATTACCACGTATTTTGAACTTAAAAGATAAAAAGGAGAGAATATTTGAGATTTTTTAATTAATTTATCTTCACCATTTGCCTATATCTTCTCTGCAAATTTGGCCGGTTATTGCAAAATAACCCTGTATAGATCAAATAATGAAATCAATGGCAAGTCAATTGCCAGTTCAGCTTACTGATCTGTTGGGCTAATTCGGTTACTCTAGTGCCATAGCGGATATCTTCATTGCGAAATATATCACGTCGAGAAACTTCGAGCATTGTACTTTCCATAGCTTGCTGAGCAGACATAAGCTCATACGGCCAGCAGTGTAGTGATTAAAGATACAGCCCATATATGTCCCACTGCTGGATACAGGACTACACTGCTGTCGGCTGCCCCAATGTGTGTTGGCGAACTTCATACACCTTCCAAATATTTTTTTCTTATTTCTTTCGTTTTCTTCCATAACAATATTTCTAAATAGATTTTCAATTAAAGTAATAGCTTAATATGATAGACAGTTCTTAATTTACAGTAACATTCCTTTGGTTTACGGTTTACCTCAAGATGACATTATGTTACTTAATATACAAGGCATATCTATCACGCCTACTCAATACAAATAGATATGTACAATGAACATCTTGTAAGCGTTTTAAAATGACATTATTCCCACATTCTCTCAGGTTTGGAGTGATCAATGTATATTTTGAATAAAATTTATTTGCAATATAATAAAAAATTTGAGAAATATCATCGATACGAAAACAAATAAAGCAAGTAAATTCTTCTCATCGTAAATAAGTAACTATAAATATAAAAACATTACGTATCGTATGTGTGAAGTTGCAAACATAATATTATTATGTATATAATTAGCTTTAATTTAGACTAAGTAAAGGCTGTATATTTTTGTGCAATCATGTCGCAGTTTTCTAATAATTATATAATTTTTTTTAAGCCTATTCATCGATAATTATTGAACAAGTTTTATGTTTAAAATGACGACATAATATATACGAGAAATAAATAATTATAATAAAAAATATAATTATGTAACAAATTTAAGAAATATATTTGCGAAAATATCTATTTTTAAATAAATAATAATTATTTCCCACCACATCATTTTCAATAAAGGTCCTCAAATTTTGTTTTGAGGTCGCCTTAAAAACAATAAGTAATAAAAATAATTATAAATTTACTAACCATAAATTTTAATATTGTGTATAATTTTCTGTATGAGTAATTTTTAAAAGTAATTAAGATCTTATAAAATATTTGAAAAAAAAATACATACCTCTGAATGCTTATTGAACTCAAATACGCGTTTAACCGAAGACGACTCCACTGTATGTACTAAAGTGCAAGTCACCAGTGCTCGTGTCAAGAACCGGTTCGATACTAGATAAATAGACTGATAAATATTATAGAAGCGGCTCGTTAGTGGATTGAAGTCATATTTATATTGATAAGGACAAAAGCGTTGCCAACCATACTCGATAATATTACATTAGTATAGTTTTATCATCATCATCGTCATTATCATCAACACAGATTATTACTCAGCTAATATGTATTCCATTCTAATAAAATATATTCCAAGTAATGTAACCTGTAACTCTATTTAGTACTCTATGGAGTACGTATGCAGTCCTGCTACTATAATAATAGGTCTGATTTCATCAGGTGCCATTACTATTTTTCCGGTCTAAATATTTAAAAATTGTCTGGTTAGTCCTACTCCAAATAATTCATGTAAAGAATAAAAAATAAAATATGAGTATTGTCCTTAATAATTTAAAGCAGTATATCCCTGGCTTAGTGCAAGAACTCATTAACTACAAAAAATCACTAAGTACAGTTTATAATACCAGTAGCTCGTTTCGTTAAGTATTATATTATCGAAAATTAATTTATTTCTAACTTTTCAAATTTGAACGTTATGACCTAGCTTTAAAGTCGATAATTACAATTTTGGTTAAACTGCTTCTTAGAAACTCGGTAAAGTACAATAATAGTTTTTAACAAATAAAAAAAAACATAATGGTGCATTTTATTGTAATACAAAAGTCATTTATGTGACTTAATAACTTTTTATATCATACGTTACGCGCATCACTTAAGAACAGCATTTGATTAAAGTCCGTCAGGTGCACATAATGACGTATTTATAACCGTGATTTATGACAAGGAAACCATATATAATTATAACAACTTCTGTTACAACGAATGACGGTTTTTTTGGAGATTTATTTTAATCTAATCTTTTTTTTAAAACGTTACCCTTACACTAGGATTTTCTTCTGTATCGCAGAGGCAGTTCACAAACATAAATTGCACAAGGACAAACATCCAGACCCGGAACAATTATTTGTAGGCCATACAAATACTTGTTCCGTGCGGGATTCGAACCCGCGGCCCCCAGCGCAGCAACTCTTTGCTAAGCCACTGCGCCACGGAGCCGTCGATATTACTTATCGTTTAATTACTTAGCGTTTCTTACGTAGCAATTTTTTGTTTTACAAAATATATGCAATCTATTCATTTTTATACAAATTAAATACAGTTCATTACTTTTGATAGACTCCGGTAAACACTCCATGACTCTTAATGAATATATGTTTTCGTACGCGCAAACGGATTAGTAAGCTGAAGTGGCAATAGACCGGCCATATAGCTCGAAGAACCGACAACCGATGGGGAAGAAAGGTTCTCTAGTGGCAGCCTCGTACCAGTAGGCGAATTGTAAGGCGTCCCCCCACTTGATGGAGAGGTGACCTGGTAAGACATGCAGGAAGTCGATGGATGCAGGTGGCTCAGGACCATGCTTTCCTTAGGGGAGGCCTATGTTCAACAGTAGACTTGTGAAGGGCTGTAATGACGAAATAATGATGACGCGCAAACACACATACTACAAACTCGCGTCGGAACACAGTGCCGTGCATGTTTGTAGAAGGCAGGCGGGTAGGGTAGGGAGCGGGGCGCTTCCTGCGAACTATGGAGTGTAGAGTAGAAGGAGGACCATCTCTATATATGAAAAGTGTCCCTAAATACGTGTTCAATAAGGGTGGCGCTGCAGTAGCATAAGATAAAAAAAAGCGCCAAAATTAATTAGAATAAAAATGAAGAAATAAACAAGGACCGACCAATCCGCTTTGTTTTGTACTACGTAAATAGTCGAGGTTTTGTATATTAGCATTTTACTAACTACTCTAGTCATGAAATTTTTTAAATATTTGAATTCAGCTGACTTCACTCCGTCTACGACAGCTATATTCATATCGTAGTTTTTCAGACGCCAGCGCTATTGTGGTAGGTTTTGGAACCTCTATTTTCAGTATATAGTGGGACACTTTTTCAACTTTCGCACCTTATAAGATGGTTCTCCTTCTACTCTACACTCCATACTGCGAACCGAGCGACGAAGGAAACGACCATTTTCAATGCAGGATAGCTTCGGTGACTAATGTCAATTTTGGTTTGAGATAACAATTAATGGTTTTTTTGTAAAATGCAACATAATTATAGATTTAAGGTAAAGATAAAGGTAAAGATATTTTATTTTGCAAATATGGGTACAGTACATGGTGATATAAGTAGTAAGTTCAGCCATATTTTACCAGTAGGCATGCAAAAATACAGAATTATAAACTAATCTGCTATACTAATAATAGCACAAATTTTGGTTTGAAATAACAATTAATGATTTTTTTGCAAAATGCAACATAATTATAGATTTAAGCCGGGACAAGGTAGTAAGATGCTGAAGGAACTTGAAAATAAGGAAAATAATATTATGATGAATGACCGAATGGACAAGGTAAGTACCGATTTTATTATTGTTACTTAGCTAATATTATTATAAAGAATTAGTTAGCAGTGTGTATTATATATCGGATACTGTCTGAATCATTATCATGTATGTTTACCCTTTTTTTTAATGTTTAAGTATTTAAATCAAGTCGAGTGTTACAAGTCTTAGAAGTAAATCAATTAACTGCAAGAGAAACATCACTGCGAGCAATATGATCTATTCTGATCGCTACTATGGCTTAGTTCACTGCAAAGCCCTATATCTTCATTAAATTGAAGTAGTTGCTTAGATGTGATCATTTTCACTTCTGCTGGGCTAAGTATGTAGTTTCCCAATGGAGTGTTATGTTTGCACATTAAGAGTCTGCAATCAGTTAGGATAATCAAAGGTGTTGCTGCCATTATGTTTTCAAACAGCAATGTAAAGTCAAGGCTGTTGTCAAAACACGCAATTTGTTCTTAATCCCTTTGATTTTGAAGCAGTTTTACGACCATATGCCTGGATTGAGGTTTTGTTAATTTTTAAGTAGGTTTTATCAGATCAGATCTGAAGTGATTTTTTGTAAAAAAGCATTTGAAGGGTCAGACGGCTTTAGAGATTATTTAAAATGACTCTGGTCTAAATTGTGTACTCATTGTTGAGCTCTTTGATAATTCATGTATGAGCAGGCAATGAACAAGCTGACAAGGCTTGTTCATTGACGTGCCTCATTACCAGTTAAAGTAGTCTTAGGCTCTTTACAATCACCATCCGAAACATAGCAGCATTAAGTTGGTATTATGTGAGAACGTGGTCCTACCCCGGTTTTGCTCACTCATTTGTGCTGCAGCTATATGCACATATGTGCATGCTGAAGTCTGCCAACACACCTCAGCACAGCACATTGAACTATTGTTTGTCCAATAATGCTCGAAGTCAGAAAGTTGGCAGTGTTTCACCCCCGTGCCGCGGAAAGGACGTAAAGTGTAAGCGATGGCTAGTCTCAGTTGAGGCCGACCACCGTGAACGGAATTCGGTTTGAAGGACATTTCTATTGTTATTAGTTGTTAATGTAGGTTGCTGTCCATCTCACGATTTGATTCCCTCTGTCTTCTCTTACAACACACACGGGAAGGTATGGGGTAGCGGATTTGTTAGGAAAATTGAAGTGAAAAACGAAATTATAAACCGCATGATATGTGACTACTGCAGTACATGAACACATGCAGCCAACTTCAAACAAAGAAGGCTACGGATGTATTGTGATCTCTAAGGACAACGATGAAATGCCTCTAATCCTGTAATTGTACGAGCTCTGTATACTCTTCATACTAGAACACACCAGTGCAACCTAATAAATGGCGGCAGAAATACGCAAAAAAGACATGGTACCTACTCAGATGGACTCCTAAGGAGAAAGAAGTCCTACCATCTCGTAATATATTATTTTATTGTTGTGTACATTCTAACGCATTATTCTTATTCTACACAGTTAATAATCTTACGACGCCACTACACTTATTTTTATTAAATGGAATCTATTAAGCATTTAGGCTTATTATTTTGGAACCCATGATAACGGAAAACGATGATTATTTTAAACTCTACCAAACATCATATAACATTTCTGTTACTCAAATTTTTTGCTTCTTCTATAAAGTTTTCTTGTGTACGGAATATTCGTATTTTTTGTGTGATTTTATTAGAAACGTCCGATGTTTTCTTGTTTCTGTTATCTTACTCGTAATACGGTATTTTGTGACAAAAATGAAGCTCAAATTTATGTTGGAGAATTATTGCTACAACGCGTTTGCTTTATCGAGTAAATCTTTTATATCTTACAAATAAGCTTAAGTGTGTCTTCAGAATTATGACACTAGAGTTGGTAATAAATGATTTTATCTAAGCTGATTTAGATGATTGAAGAGCAAGAAAGTGCCGCTAAGCATGTGCCGCTTGAAAATATTGGTATTTCTATGTGTTGAAGCGCCTGTCAAATTATATTAGCAGTTCTCATGCCAATATTAGTCCGTAAGCTGTGTAGGTATGTTTAAAAAATGTTGTACCTGTCGTCGTTGTAAAAATTTAGAGATCAAGTAAAGGTCGATTGAGCAAATTACAGCATTTTACTATTAAAAAGAGATCAATTTCCTATTCATGGTCCTAAATCGAAGCCGGATTTGAAAAAACGTAATTGGACAAGATATTATTTAGTGGAATACGCTTGGGAAGTCTTAAATATTCGTTGTGGAAATACCACCGAGGGAGTGAAGATATTTAACCAAGAAATCTGGAGTCTTAGCCCCTTAGATATTGGACTATTATTATTACGGATCGCCGTAATGCCGTGCGAAAAATGGAATAAAACGCGCTGGTCTTGCTTTTAACTGGAGGCAAGCGGCGGTGAGGAGGAACTTGTACTTTTTCTTTTCTTGCTGGTGCCTTTTCGGTGGCTGGAGAGCGACTGCTGACCCTAGCGGCCGGCCCGTCTTTTATATGATTTGGCCGCTGCTGGCCAGCGGACCCTTGCCTCACCCCCGCGCCTATCTTTATTTATTTAATAAC